TGAGCCTAAACATCTTTCCAGAATTAGGCTGCGAGCTCCTGGAAATGTGAGATGCATTTTATCTTGTCTTTGAATCCTTAAGGTCTAGCACAGAATGTGGCATATTGACAGACGTCAGTGCATGTATTTTGTTGAATAAGTGAATGAATGAATGAAATTAACATTTTCTTTTCAGTTATTTCACTAGAAGAAACTAAAGACCAAATTTTGGTTAATGACTCCTATAAGAGAAACATAATTATTAAATTTGTTCTATTCGAGACTAACACTTTGTTTAAGGGTTTCTGCCTTGACTCAAATCGTTAAACTCTGCAAATGTATTTGTCTCATTCCAGGAATCCCATTCTGCCAGCCCAGTAAAGGCAAAAACCCCTATGAAACGGATAATGCACCTGTGATTAGAAGACTAACTAGGAACATATGACAATGATTCTTACATTATTTTTTAGTAAATGCTGACAATTTTAATTAAACAAATAAACCAGTGAAAAATTAGCACCTTCATCTGAAAAAGAACAGGTGGTCACACAATTTCCTTAGCTCCCCAATTCACGCTCAGTGGTCAAGGTGTCAACAGAATAACCATAACAAAGGTCAAAGTTCCTAGTGTTCCCTTCTGGCCAGGGAGATTTCAGGGTTTTGCCCTAGGATATTTAAATATTTAATTACCTGACTCGTATTCCATAGTCCAAAGTAGACCAAAGGACTCTACTCTCGGGAGGACGCGCTAGTGAAGGAAACTCTGGAAATGAAATGAACCCTCCTTATGTCACCATCTCTTTCTTCATGTCTGTTCCTATGTGGAATACTTTTCTGGGTAGCTGAGGAGATTTGGAATGGAATGAGACAATGTGCCCAATTAACTTGTCCTAAGAATCTTTCCACTCTGCCTTAATTACAGATTTGGTTAAAATACAAGTTTCTATTTTCAAATGCAAATTAGTCATAGAGTAATTTATACATTAGTGTGAATTAGTTTCCATACCATGCAATTTTTTCCAGAATCCTTTGCTCACTTAGAATAACAAAACAGTAAACAACTCAGTTGTACTCAAGTCTCTTTATCCTGTTTCCCATACATCATGTGAGCAATTATTTTATTAGAGAGAGTTTAACAGTGAACAAAGAGAGCATTTATCGATGAAACCTTTTCATGTTTACCATTCTAGAATCAGGTCATTAGAGTGCAGTATTTCTTTGCATTGTCATCTTTTGATAAGGATTATTAGTTGCAAGCAATAGATATAAACTCTGGTTGATTTGAAGCAAAATATGAATATATTATAAGAATACTGCGTAGTTCACATAATCACCAAAAGAGGATAACAACAAGACTCACAAACTATGCAGACAGAACAACACCTTAGATCAGCTCAAAGAACTGGTGATGTCTCCATTGCTAATGTTTTTGAGCTAGTTCCCACAGCTTGTCCCACCAGTCTGCTCACAGGAGTGTCAACCATGACCTCACTGCCTCCACTTCCCTGGGAATTCAGTCTTCCTGGCTTGCCACCAAAGTACAGTGTTTCTTGGTCTCTACTGGTTCCCATGTCAGAGTTTGTGGCACCTTCCGTTGGTGAAATTGATCCTGTGCCTGCATACTAGCAGCAAAGGAGACTAAGAAAAGCATTTAGTGCCTGGCAAGGAAGGCAAACTCTTCTTCCTAGGAAGATACATAAAGTAAAGATAGTGACTGTTTCCTAAAACTTGTTAGAGATTGTAATATTCCCCTAAGTTTAGATTTCTGCCATGGAATATTACCATTTTATTGACATTGTTGGTATATCAAAAATGTGTGTACATTTATGTCCTAGTTAAAATCTGATCTTCTGCATTCTCACGCCCATAACATCCTCTCCCTTGAATGATTCCTGGTGCCCTGTGAGACCTTCCTACCTTGAGTCTTGCCCCTTCTAATCTTCAATCCACTGGTAATACATTAGCCTCAAAAATATTTCCAACATCAACATCTTTAAAAAAGTAACACCAGATAGCTTCTTACTGCCTTCAAAAGAAAGCTCAATTTTTAATCCCCGGTAGCTCTTCATTATGTGTTTCTTGGCTTCTTTCTTCAGGCCCATTGAAAGGTGACAATATGCTAATAGCTCTCACTCTTGGCACCTCCTTGGCCTTGGCGTCCACTCTGGCAGCACCTGAGGAGCCCTTCAACCCACTACTGCACTGTGGGAGCCCCTCTCTGGGCTGGCCAGGGCCGGGAGCTTGCGAGGAGGTGTGAAGGGAGAGGCCCCGGTGGGAACTGGGGCTGTGTGGGTGCTCACAGGCCAGCGTGAGTTTCAGCGGGCACAGGCTCGGTGGGCCCCGCACTCAGAGCGGCAGGCCAGCACTGCCGACCCAGGGCAGTGAGGGGCTTAGCACCCTGGCCAGCAGCTGCAGAGGTCCCCCAGCACTGCTGGCCCACATGCACCGTGCTTGAATTCTCGCTGGGTCTCAGCCACCTCCCCGTGGGGCAGGACTCAGGACCTGCAGCCCGCCATGTCCCAACTCCTACTAGCTGTGGGCTCTCGCACAGCCTGAGCCTCCCCGACAGGCGCAGCCCCCTGCTCCATGGCGCCAGGTCCTATCAACCACCCAAGGGCTGAGGAGTGCAGGTGTGGCTCAGGACTGGCAGGCAGCTCCACCTGCAGCCCCTGTGCGGGATCCACTAGGTGAAGCCAGCGGGGCTCCTCAGTCTAGTGGGAACTTGGAGAACCTTTATGGCTAGCTAAGGAATCATAAATGCACCAATAAGCACTCTGTGTCTAGCTCAGGGTTTGTAAATACACCAATCAGTACTCTGTATCTAGCTAACCTACTGGGGACTTGGAGAACTTTTCTGTCGAGCACTCTGTGTCCAGCTAAAGGATTGTAAATGCACCAATGAGCACTCTGTCTAGCTCAGGGTTTGTACATACATCAATCAGTACTCTGTGTCTAGCTCAAGGTTTGTAAATACACTAATCAGTATTCTGTATCTAGCTAACCTGGTGAGGACTTGGAGAACTTTTCTGTCTAGCGCTCTGTGTCTAGCTCAGGGATTGTAAATGCACCAATCAGCACCCTGTCAAAATGGTCCAATCAGTGCTCTGTAAAATGGACCAATCAGCTCTCTGTAAAATGGACCAATCAGCTCTCTGTAAAATTGACCAGTCAGCAGGATGTGTGTGGGGGCTGCAAAAGGGAATAAAAGCAGGCTGCCCCAGCCAGCCAGCGGCAACCCGCTCGGTCCCTTTCTGCCCTGTGGAAGCTTTGTTCTTGCGCTCTTTGCAATAAATGTTGCTGCTGTTCACTCTTTGGGTCCACGCCACATTTAAGATCTGTAACACTCACCACGAAGGTCTGCAGCTTCACTCCTGAGGCCAGTGAGACCACGAACCCACCAGAAGGAAGAAACTCCGAACACATCTGAACATCTGAAGGAACAGACTCTGGACACACCATCTTTAAGAACTGTAACACTCACCGCGAGGGTCCCAGCTTCATTCTTGAAGTCAGCGAGACCAAGAACCCACCAATTCCAGACACATCATCACTCATCTTTCACAAAAAATGTATCAAACTCTCAACTATGAGTTCCCAAGCCCATTTTTCTCTCCCACGTGCACTTTAATATACAGCTTCTGCCTATAATGCCCTCTTTTCCCATCAAATGAATCCCTCCTACTCATAGTTTCAACCCCCCCCAACCATCCCCATCACAAAGCAGAATCAGGCGCCCCTCTCATGGCATTCTGCTCTTAATCTATTTTATAAATATTAATGCACTACATTAAAATCATTTATTCATTTGTCTGTCTCTACCACTAAATGGTAGCTCTATGAAGGAGGGAATGCTACTGCATTGCTCACCACCATCTCCCCAGAGCATGGTTCAGTCCCTGGCATATTGGAGGAGTACCATCACTCCATTGAGTATTGAATCCAGCTTCTTCAACTTTCCCTCCTATGACTTAGTCACTAGATTAGCCACAATCCTTGTTGCTTCCCCAATCACTTCATATATCTGCAAGTTTTTCAATGTTCCGTCTAAATCTGGATGCTCAAACTCAGCCTTGATTCTGAAGTCAAATGAAGGAGGAAAAAACCCTAGGAAAAAAATTTAAAATTTTGTATGACTTGTGCTGCAAGTCCAGCTATTCCTCTTCCTGCTCTTCTTACTCTGAGGCTACCACTGGCTAGGTCAGGATCCCAGAATGTGGGATCCTAGAAGGTTAGTGGCTCTGCCAAACACCTATTAAAGTTTTCATTTCTTTATATGGGAATTAATAAAAACTTTGCCCATATGCTACATAACATATGCATTAAGTAAAGCTTAATAGCTATTAATAAAATATTGATGCATTTGTTTTTCTGGCCAAGTATTTGAAAATAGCTTGAACCATTTCCAGATGGTGACTTTATCTTGGTATCCCGTGACGTGAAAGTCATTGCTAAGCTGTGTTCTTTAGTATACGCTCTGTAGGTTATTTTCCTCACATGTATACACAGTGATTTTGTTATTCTGTGGCTGTCACAAACAGTGATCCCAGAGGAACCTTTCCATCTTGACAATATTTAGGTAATTTATTTAATATATTTAAAGATTGTCCCGAAATCTTCCATTCTCAAGATTTTGCAAATTTCTAACATCATGCTCCCAAATTTGTGTACTGCTGGATCATCCATTGCATTTTACGCTCCTTAATGTTTCCGGTTATTTTTCTTATTATTCCATTTTTTTAATCCATCTTTATCATCATCAATAGTAAGTCTTATTTAAGTGTAATAGTCCATTTGATTTTCCTCATCAACATTTCTTCTTTGGATTTTTAGAGTTCTTGTAGATGGTTCAACCATTTTCACACATCTTAAAACTTCTAATCCTTTGAAAGGTAAATAAATGCAAAAAATGCAGAAAACTCTGTGATTAAATAACAAAATACACAGAAGCAAGTAAAATTCTTGCAGCTACTGCATTTTTCATTATTTATAACATTTATAAGTAAACAGACATGGTAGTCACTTTATCATTGGATACCTCCATATAAATTGGCAGTATGACTAGTATGATCCAAGGAAATTTATGCCCAGGTGCACTTTGAGAAAACTTAGCAATTTAGGTGATGGTAAGATGAATGAATAGAGAGAAAAGGAGAGAGAGACACACACACATAGACTGACTTTCCTTTTACCCACTTCATGATTTAAAATGAGCTTTAAGATGAAAGCCATCTTCTATTTTACGGAGCACAGAGTGATAAGTGGGGACTTGGAAGAATCCTCTCTGAAGTCTATTACCAGCTAAACAGACCAACTGTGCAATCTTAGGGAAGTAACTTCATCTCGCTGGTCAGTGTTCATATCTTCAAAAACCAAAAAGTTTTATGAAGTTCCACCACTTCTACTTCCAAAAGCATATAAGCCTATGATACTAAAAAATCATTCTGCAAATATCAAATCTTGTGTATGGTATATAATTTTATTACAACTGAAGGAAAGGGTATGTGGAAGAGGAGTATTTGTGGGAGAAAATGTGGAAGAGACTGCAGACAGGGAATAAAAACAACTGCAATTATCAAAACCTGGTTTAGTCAGAGGTCAGACGAGCAAGGCCTATGAGCCGGGAAACCAGAAATGGTATGCATCCACCAGTACAGAAGAATCATAATGACAGGTAAATAGAATCTCATTCTACTTATCTACATCTGGATAAGAAGAATGGATGAAAATATTCAACATTTGTTGGCTATGAGTGAATACTTGTAAAGCGTTAGAAGAGTATTTAGCACACTGTAAGTGCTCAAAAAAATCAGCTATTACTATTACCATTGTACATTTTTACAATAGGTAGACTTCTATAAATATCATATGATGCAAAAGTTACCACAAATGCTTTAGTTTGTTGCTAAGGTTTGGGAAAGCTGGAATGTCTACTGACCCATGGGAATTTGGAAATCTCTTTTATGTCATCAGCCTTTCCCAAGATAGGCATGTCCACAAGTGGAAAGAAGAGGTGAGATGGTTCTAAGAGATGTTTCTTGCTTATCTCCAAAGCTAAGATAAGCTTTGTATGTGGGGCAAACCTACGGGAATGCTAACACGCTGTGTCCTGGGTGACTCTTAAAGGGAACTGAAGTGAGGACATTCTGTGATGTTCTGGAAGGTCTAGGAGATCGAGAAGTAACATGCACCAGGAGCTTCCAACAACAATCCAAAGTGGGGATGGAGAGCTGAAAGTCCCACGTGAAGTAAGCGGGGGTTCTGAGCTCCAGGTGGCTGGGAAAGCTCACTATTCTTGCCCAGTTTACTCTCATGTGAGGTGTATTCAGGAGTACTCCCTGCCAAGGAAATGAGTGCTCGGAAGGAATGTGCAAGAGAGCAAGAAGGGCCCTGCCTGAGCCCCTGGGATGACTTTTCCTAGGTGCACCACATTTCAAGTGAACTGGATGGTCTTTGAAAAGCAGGAGCTGAGGGGCCTCTGCATGAAAGTAATGCCCATCTTATTAGGTTAGTCATATCTCCTAAGGAAGCCGGATACTTTTTTTTTTTCATGCTAAAATGGATAATTCAGTGAAGTGAATAATCCTCTTGTGCTGTGGGGATAGTTACCTGTTTTATCTGTTGGTGTGAGCCTGCACCTTCATACATTGTGGATTTTTGTTTTTAACAATGGAATATAGCTCTACCATAGTTGTTATGTAAAATGTATCCCCAAAATATAATGTGCCCCTAAATGTAAGAATATTTGTAATCTTGTCACTAGCAGCAAGCTCAGTAACACAAAGGGCATTCCTAGTAAGCCGACAAAATGTGTCTGTGTGTGTTCATGAGGGCAGACCAGTACACAAAAGAACCTCACATCTTAATGGCTTAGTACAATTTCAGAAGTTTGTCTTTTACTCATGTCTCAGTTGAAGATGAGGTTTTCCTCCAAATAATGACTCAGAAATCCAGATGGCTTCTTTCCTGTGGCTCCCAATGCTAAGAATCCATGGCGGAGGAAATGAATATGCAGAGGATCATGCACCCCATACCAACAACCTCAGGTGAGAAATGGCATCTGTTGCTGCTGTTTACATGTCTTTAAGGGGAATTAATCACATAACCCTACCTAGATGAAATATGCATTCCCTGGCGGAGCTGCCACTTGTGGGGAAAACAGGAACATTTGGTGGTCAGACACCTATCTTGGTCACAGTTGTTCAGGAGTTAGGAATCTCTCATAGCACCTCTGCTCCATGATTGGTATATGGAGATTTGACTCTCACTCAAGCACCTGTAAAAATAGACACATAATATGAAAAAACAGGTGTAACTAGAGCATCACTCTTCATATACATATAATCTTGAGGCTGATATTTGTTTTTCATGATTGCCCCTATTTTCTTGGCTTTGAACTCCTAACCCATCTGGAGAAGACAGTTTGCTCTACCCTAGTTCAGTGAACTTAATCAGGACTAGTAATTTTTTAATCTAGTTATTAGTCACAAATCACATTTCCAAGCCTCCTAGTTTTTAGCCTCCCATCACAATCCCCCAGTTCAGCTTTCTTTTCTATGCACAATACTGTGTTGCCTCCACAGGGACGGAGGGCAAAGCCATAGTGGCACTGTCCACTTGCAGGCAACAGTATATGGTGGAGACAGGAAGCTGAGAAGCTGATTTGGTGTCACCCTGTGGCTAGCTTGGCCTATGGGGTGATTGCTCCTGTTAGGTTTCTGACCCTGGGATTTCATAGCTGTCCTGATGTGGCGCCACATTAACACGTCTTTTAATCCCCAGTCTTATGGAATGAAAGAGAAAAAAACTTGATGTATGCACACATCATGAGATAAATCAATATTTGCTTCTATGAAGCAAGAACAAAATGCTATAGAAAAGAAACATTCAGGCATTTAAAAAAGCTTCTGAAATGAAACACGAGAGCAGACGAGAAAAATATCACCAGAAAGCTTTGAAGGTAAAATTGAGAAAACCTCGCAGAACTTAAGTAAAAAGTCAAAGATAAAAAGTAAGAGAAATGAATTAACAAAATCGAAGGACAAGTATTCCAAAAGTTGCAGGTATGAATGATAGGAAGTCTAAAAAGACAGAATAGAAGAAGCAGAGGGAGGAAACAGTCAATGAAATCATTCGAGAAAATTACCAGGACCTGAAAAACATATGTTTTTAAGTTAAGAGGGTGCCCTTAGTGCCCAACACAACGTGTAAAAATAAATCAACAATAAGGTACATCATTGTGAAATTATAAAACATCAGCATCAACAGGATCTTTAGAGTCTGAGAGAAGAAAGAGGAGATCCCTTACAAAGGATTTGTAATCAGAATTGTTCAGCTTATTCAACAGCAACACTGGGAGCTCACAGATAAGTGAAGAATATCTTCGAAATGCTGAAGAAATTTGTTTTCTATCTTAAAATTCTATACCCAGTTAGGCAGTCTATTATGTGAGAAGATGGAACAAAAATATTTTCGGACATTCAAGGTCTCAGAAAATTCACCTCCCATAAACTTTTTTTTCAGGGCATTATTGAAGGATATACCTCACGTAACGTTGAGAGTAAGCCACTTGCTAAAGGAATTCGAGGACACAGGCAATAGAAGATCCACTGCACACACCCATGCACACACACACACACACACACACACACACACAGAGTCTCTAGCATGATGGTTAAGGAAGATCTCAGAATGATTGACAAGCACCAAAGACAAAAGGAAGCAAGGACCTATGGAACAGGTTCAAAAAATTGTGGCCAAGGGCAGCGTAGGACTTCATACCCATAGCTGCCCTTCCCTACGTGAAAGGCATGGGGAAGCCAATAGAACCAGCACTTGTATTAATGGCATCCAGAGCAATGATGCTATATGGCAGAAATACAATGATGAGACAATAAAGTCTAAGCATCCATACTATGTGTGTGTGTGTGTGAGTTTGTGTGCGTATGTGTGTGTGCATGTGTGTAGTGAGAGACAGAGAGTGTCTGGAATGATATACAAGAAAAAAAGCAAAAAGTAAGTGACATTTGTGTCCTTTGGAGAAAGGAATTTGATGCTGACAGAAGAGAGATGTGAGGAGGACCTAATTTTCATTATATGCAATTTTGTTTATGTCTAAGATTTACTATGTGTACATATTACCTATTAATAAAAGCTATAGCATAAAATTCATTCACTTAAAAATTACAAATATGCATACTTATGACCTAACAATTTAACCTCTGACAGTTAGACCTTTGCATGTGCAAAATGATGTATGCAAAAGGATATTCATTACAGCATTGACTGAGAGAGCAAAAGACTAGAAATGACCTAAATATCTATCAAATAAGTCTGGTGAAATAAGCTGTGTACCCCTGCACAATGGAATATGTTGTAGCCATATAAGAATAATGAAGAAGTTCATTAAGTAGTGATAAGGAATGATCTGTAAGATATATGGCCAAGCAGAAAAGAGATGGCAGTAAAAACGGATATATGGTACAGTATGCCAAAATTTTTGCATAAGAAAGGGGAAAACTGAATATATATTTGGAATTTTTAAATGTGCATACAATGGCTCTGGGGAGAAAAAACACACACACAAAAAAAAACATTGGTTGCTTATGGTTTCTGCTTTATTTTCTTCATAGCATTGTCATTATGTTAAATTATTTCACACACTGATTTGTTTGCATGCTTGTTTTCTGTTTCCTCCATTAGAATTTAGTCACCAAGGGGGTAAAGTCTAATCTGATATGTTTACATCGGTATCCCCTACACCTTGGAAAAGTGTCTGGCACATAATAGATGCTCAATAAATGGTTGTTGAATATTGTTTGAAAGAAAAAAAGAAGGCTTTTCTCTGACCATGTTGTGGCCCTTTAGGGGATGATAGCATTGTGATCACAAACCTTCAAAGGATATTCTGTCTTCAAGGCAAATTTTTTTTAAAAAGCCAAAAAGTAGTCATAAGAAACTGCTAACAGAATAACAAGGAATGTAAAATGTCAGACTTCACCTATTAATAATTATTACAGCATATTATGTCTCTGACTGAATGTTCTACAAACAAGCAATTAAGGTAATCTTCATCACAGGAGGTAGTTTGAAGAAGTCAAAACCACGACGCATTTCAAACAGCTGGGGAACAGCAGAAATACTGGAGGAAAAAACCAACATCCTGTGAGCTGGTGTTTTTGTAGAATTTAAAAATAAATGTCAAGAGATGGAACACAATCATTTATGAGTCACCAAATTAGATTCTTGGGTCGCTACAGTTGTTCAGAGGACAGAAAGGAGATTTCTAGATGTTACTTTGGCAATGAAGTAAAGCAATTAATTGCTTGTGGACATTGTTAGCTTGTGAAGGTGGTCAAGATTCAAATTCATAGGTCATCATAGAGGGGAAAATAAAACTTGCAAAGTGTTTCTAATTTGTCCAATTCTTGAATATATATTTAAAATTAGGAGATGTATATTTTCACTAAGTTCTTCAAAACGGGACTTCAAAACTCTCCTACTCTTCAAGCTCTTGTAAGGCTAATAGCACACACATACATACCCACTCAGGCATTGATAAGACCATTCCTTGCCTCTGGTTTAGCCCTGATTCTGGCTTAGCCATTTTTATTCTTTTATTTGGTGTTGTGTGATGTTTCACTGGGCAGGTTTAATGACCTTCACAAAGCATCCATCTGATCTATCCACTTGTTGCAGGAAGTCAGGGACCCCAAATGGAGGGACCAGCTGGAGCCATGACAGAGGAACATAAATTGTGAAGATTTCATGGACACTTATCAGTTACCAAATAATACTTTTATGATTTCTTATGCCTATCTTTAATCTCTTAATCCCGTTTTCTTCATAAGCTGAGGATGTATGTTACCTCAGGACCACTGTGATAATTGTATTAACTGTAAAAATTGATTGTAAAACATGTGTGTTTGAACAATATGAAATCACTGCACCTTGAAAAAGAACAGAATAACAGCAATTTTTAGGGAACAAGGGAAGACAACCATAAGGTCTGACTGCCTGTGGAGTTGGGCAAAAAGAACCATATTTTTCTTCTTGCAGAAAGCCTATAAATGGACGTGCAAGTAGGAGCGATAGTGCTGAATTCTCTTCCTGGCAAGGGATATTAATATTAATACCCTGGGAAAGGAATGCATTTCTTGGGGGAGGTCTATAAACAGCCACTCTGGGAATGTCTGTCTTATGCGGTTGAGATAAGGACTGAGATATGCCCTGGTCTCCTATAGTACCCTCAGCCTTACTATGGTTGGGAAACCCTGCCCTGGTAAATTTGTGGTCAGACTGATTCTCTGCTCTCAAACTCTGTTTTCTGTTGTTTAAGATGTCTATCAAGACAATACATGCACCACTGAACATAAACCCTTATCAATACTTCTGCTTTTGCCCTTTGTCCTGTTCCCTCCAAAGCATGTGATCTTTGTTAGATCCTTATTAGTAGTTCTGCTTTTTGCCCTTTGAAGCATGTGATCTTTGTACCTACTCCTGTTCTTACAACCCCTCCCCTTTTTAAAACCCTTAATAAAAACTTACTGGTTTGAGGCTCAGGCGGGCATCACGGTCCTACTGATACATGATGTCACCCCCGGCAGCCCAGCTGTAAAATTCCTCTCTTTGTACTCTTTCTCTTTATTTATCAGCTGTCTGACACTCACGGAAAATAGAAAGAACCTATGCTGAAATATTGGGGGTGGGTTCCCCCAAAACCCACCCAGTGATTTTTATCATTGCAAATAACCTTTGCCTATTCTACCTACCTCAAGAAAAGATACATTGACTTGAAACTAACATGGTCTTGTGATTTCTAGCAGGCACCACTCCCCATTTCACCAATTTTTTGTTAGCCCAAGTGTAACAGGTCCTGTCTGTGTCTGGCCCATTTCCCCTGGCCATATCCTCCACGATCTTAAAGTTTAAAGCAAACACCTGCAACTGACTCAAGCCTCTTTTGCCCTGACTGAGAGCCCACTCAGCCTGGGACATCACAGGACGGAACTGCACAGAGAGTTAGTTCCCCAGGAAGCAGCCCCTAATGTGACTGATGGATGGATACCCTGCTTCCTCACCCCTGGTTGAGATAACCCTGAGGTGCGTTTTACTGATTTCCTAAGCTCCCCAGCAGCTCACAGGAGTAACCAGCTCCATAACTCACCCTTACTTGGTTACCATCCTTTATTGGTGCTCTGACTCCCCTTTTGGCATTTCTTGGGATTAACTTTCAAATAATCTGCTTGCAAGTGAGTCCTCGTCTTGGTATCTGCT